CCTATTCTAATTAGTAAGGCCCCGATATTAGAGCTCCCGAAACTTAAACGGGTCCAGGATACAGGCCGATAGTTCAAGCAACGAAGTCGACCCATGCCCTAGCTAGACTCCTGACACTAGTGAGCCTTAGGGCTTCCTCGGCAATGAATAAGTACGACATTTTCAACACGGCGCAGCAACTACTCCGCTTGCCAGCGCAGGGATTTCGTCACTTTGAAGCACTCCGCAACTCCGCCAGGAGTCTGTCACATGCAAAGGCTAGATAACGGGCCCTGTGTCTCGAAACTTTTCGTTCGGGATTGTACAGCAGATTGGGTACGTGCCCATGCACATGTACAGTAACTTACCGATTTCTTTGTCTGTTTATGGACAGGCATGTTTGCATTGGTTCGTGCCTACATATTGTATACCATCGGTCGCGAAACCTTGAGAGTATCCCTGGGACCTCGAGTCAGCCGCGCTCGAGGTCTGGTCACGAGCTAGGCCATAAACTTTCTAAACTAAACCCCAAAGCCGAACAGAAACTGAAGCCGGAAACTGTCCGTCGTCCAATTCTCTTGGTCCGAAGGGGTCCGAATTAATCACGGCCTGTGGGATGTACAGTTTCGACCACCACTTTGGTATTTCGCTTTCGCACCCTTGCCTGAAGACTTCTTTGTCGTCCTCCTCGGGCTCTGGCTGCTCCACATTACCTGCCATTCGGGTCATCTCGGTTCAGCGCTTGAGGGTTCAGGCGTTGAGTTTTGCCCCCCCGNNCGCCCCCCCCCCCCCCCCCCCCCGCGCCCGCCCACGCACATCTTGCGCGTCATTCAGGTGGCATGCGAACTGCCCAAGATGGGCTTGTGGGAAGGACGCACGCGCTACATCTACATCTCGAAAGTTATTTCGCGGGTATGAAGACTTGGAAAATGAGTGCATGCTTGCATGCTTCCTCGAACATTTCAGGCCCACGTGGGCCTCGCAAGTAGAGGTGGTGGACGAACAAGGCCTTGGGAGGCAAGGATTTGTGAGCATGCACGTATCCCTACTTCGAAGATGCCGCCTTAGGGTGCAGATTGAGCCAGCCGAAAGTTTACCCGGAGTATCCATTCAGCTTCGGTCTGCATCAAGAGGAAACAGTTAAGCTCTACAGCTCACACTTCTGAGGGATTCTGCGGGTCTCACTCTAGGCCTCTGCAGGGCTAAAAGATCTCTCAACGAAGAGGGGCCCACTTTTTGAACAAGCGTCCGAGAGCATTCCGTATAAGCAGACCATCCCTTCCGGCTCCTGGGAGGGAGGAACTTGCTGAATTTGTTTAGGGTTTAGGCTTTGGGGCACGAAAGACTGTTACCATTTGGGATACCATGAGGTACTAAGGGTTGCCACTAGAGATACCACCGGGTACTATGAGGCTTACCATGAGTGTTGCTATTCAACTGCTTTCATTCCGGGCTACCGAGGTTACTATAAAGCACGAAACGGTTTCTGTACAACGAAAAGCCTTCGTGGATGTCAAGAACGGCTTCACCCGCCTACACGGTCGTGCATTCAGAAGACTCTTACCCGTCAATTGCTCAACTCAAACCTCGAAACTCTAAACCGTAGTTCCATCGTAACGGTCCAGACTTCGCTTCCGACCAGGCTATATTTTTTCATGTGCCCTCAGGCCCCTCAGGCTCTGATCCTGTTCAGCTGGAGAGCCTGCCGAACGCCTTAAAATTAAAAAACAGAACGCGAATAATCATCATAATCATAAACATCTAATAACCATCACAATCATCATAGTCATATCCTTTTGTTGAACCCAGATTCTGGTAATCAGTAGTAATACCCTTCAACTCTTGAAACCCGAGACTCTGTCCTCCCTGTCGCAGTCGTGGAAGAAGGCGTTGGACTTGGATCCTCGGCTCACACAGCTCCTCCGAAGCCGCAACAAAAGGGGCCTTGACAATCACCAATACTGTTTTTTTTTTTTTTTT